AGAGCCTCTCTGCCTACTTCTCAGAGATAGGGCTAACACACCAGGCTGGGTAAAGAAATGGCCGTATCAATAGGCATTTCCTTGTAGCCCAGGCCTCCCCTGTTGGATCTATTTGTGAATTTCAGCACAGGTGAAATAGAGAACATTTGTGACACATTATCTCTAAGAAGTAGTCAAAGACTTCCTTTTCTGTGGGGAAGAAACAAAGGAAAAGTCTAGCTCCCAGTCTTCCTTCCAAAGCTCAGAGGGGCCAGCATAGGTTTATGAACCCCTATTGGTGTCCCTGAGTGGCACAAATATTTAAGTGCTTGCCTACTAACAATAACGTTGGCAGTTTGAACCCACCCAGATATGACTTGGAAGGTGTACCAGAGGCCTGGTGATCTTCTTCCGAAAGGTCACAGACTTGAAAACCCTATGCAGTACAGCTCTTCTCTGCACATGTGGGGTCTTCACTAGCTAGAACTGCTTTGATGGCAACTAATAACAACAACATCACTGTACACCAGGTCCTGGCTGGAAGTGCGACAGAGTGGTGAGCCTTGTCTGTTTCCAGGTATGAGCCTTCCACAGCCCAGATGGCCCCAGTGCCACAGGTGAACCAACGGGGAATATTACTGCTATGGGGCAAAAGGTTCCATTGCCCACAAAGCCAGGGGCTCTGGACAGCTTCCTGGGAAAGAGGGCAGTGGGGCTGGGCCTTGATGAGTAAAAAGGGATTCTCTAGTGCAAGAGAAGGAAAGATGTCACCCAGGATACAAAAGGCAGGTGGGTTGAATTGCTAAGGCCACAAATGCCAAATTTAGAAGCTTGAAGTATATCAAGTCAAGTTCTTGAGTCCCTCTTCAACTCCCTGTGTGACAATAAGTGAAATCTGTTTCCAGAACTTAGTGTCCCATCTGCTACGATAAATGTACCCTCTTCGGCATTGTGCTCTTGGGCATACAGAGCAGTGCCTGGCTCCCAGCAGATATATGACACCAGTACTGTCACCAAGGGAAGGGAAAGTGTCCTAAGCAATACAGCCCCAGCAGCTTCCCCAGATTCTGGGACAACTCTCTGTAGGATGCTCTCTGCAGAGACTCAGCCCAGAGATCTCCCAGGGAATAACACTTCACGGCCCCACCACTCCAGGCTCCTTGGTGGAAGAAGCAACAGAAGATCCCAGAGGACTGAAAGGGAAGGAACCTTAGCCTCAGGGCCCAGAGGGAAGAGGCAAGAATGAAAAGTCTCTCCTCCACATGTAGACCCTGTATCTCCTTGGGCCTTTTATTATTTTTATTGAGAGCCTTTGCCATTTTTGCCTGCCAGGAAGTAGAGAACCACAGTGGTCTGGGCAGGAAATCAGGAGGGGAGGGGATTCTGGTCTTTGCTGAGAACCCTCCTCCCAAACAAGCCATGTGACTTCTGACCATTTACTTCCACATACATGACAAGATTTGAGGTCTTGGATGTGATGGGGAACAAAGATCTGCAGGGCTGTGAGGGGTGAAGCTGAGTGGTGCCAACTAACCAGTTAGGCCTGGAAGGAGGCACAAGCAAGAGGTCAGTAGAAGTCAGTCCCCTGCCCCCATAATCCTTCTCTTTCAGCAGTTCTAGCACTGCTCAGTACTCCAGTTACTGCCAGCAGAGAGCAGCTGAGTGTGAGTGAGGCTTGAATGGACCAAGTTAAGTAAAAGGGGAAGAGGCCCAGGACCCTGGGAGGGAGTGGCCTGATCTTCCAGGGCTCACAGTGAACAATGACAGCTACAGGGACAGTGACCACAACGCTTCCTGTTATTATGAGTGCCTGCTGCATTCCAGATCATACGTTAAACACTAACTTCCATCTTGAGCAACAGGGCTGAGAAGATGGTCATGGAGACAGGTCAGGGCACCAAGTTAGACCACCAGGAAGGGCAGCTCACCCTGGACTGGAAACTAGACAGGCTACAAAATGAGGGCAAGCCAATCTGAGGCCCTGGGGTATAGCCCTATGGAGGCAGAAGGACACCAAGTAGAGTGCTTGGTATCTACTCAGACTGAACTAGAACAGCTGAGGAGAAGGCTGACACCTATTTGTGGGCTAACTGAACTCCCTGGGCCCAGACCTACTCATCGCCAGGGACATGTTGGCAGCACTAGGTGAAAAGCAGAAGCTATGAAGCACAGAGATCCCTCCTCAGGGCCATAGTCACTCATGGTAAATTATAATGACTATGGCAGGCTGGTCCCCAATCCAGGTCGAGTCTCTCAGCAACTAAGAGGTTTGCATGAGGGCTTCCAGGCTTGGTCAGTGAAGGAGCAGAGGGGAGAAAATAGGAAGGAACTGGGGTCACATCTGATCCATGTTCCCTTTGAGAATAAACTAAGGGCTAGTACCTCCAGTCACAATTACTTCTAAAACCTAAAGGAGGAGGAGAGAGAGGAACCTGCTCTAGGCTGATCGCAGTTCCCAGCCCAAAACAGGGGAAATACTGAGGCCCTAAATTCAAGAGGAGGTGCTTTGGAAGTTGCTATGGTCAGAAAACAGATGATGAGACGGGCACACATCTATGGAGAAGGGGCTAGACTCAGCCCCATTAAAGTTGGTATTGCCTGTATAGGAACGCTAGCCTCCTACTCTTTCACCACCTGACTCATGGCATCTGGGGCAGCACAGAGACTGGTCAGAACTCTCCTGCGGCCCACAAAGCCAAAACCTTAATATTGAGAAGCAGTTTTCTGTCCTTAGCTGGTCCATTGCCTACCCAAGCATCTCCCTAACCCTAGCACAGGAAAGGGGCTAGAATGGTGCCAAGTGAGAAGTGTATTCCCAAAATTGGTTTTCTGGTACCATCTAAAAACAAGTACACGTTTCAACTTGCCAAGAGCAAAACTGTAAGAAAGTAACCAAAAGAGCAAAGAAAAAACAAATCTATATGAGCTACAACCTCAGCTCCCCTGAGACAAGAAGAACTAGATGGTGTCTGGTTATCACCACTGACCATTCTGCCTTTTCCAGTATTCTAGTTTCTCTGCCCCCTATCGTCTCATTTTTACTTTTGAGAAGTTGGTCTCGGATGATTGGGAGAAAAATATGGAACAGAACTCAAATTCTTATTAAAACAAAACAAAACAATAAAACCAGACGAACTATAATAGTACATAACAGAGGATTCCCTAAGACTATTGCCCTGAGACACTCTTTACACCTAAAACAGAGCCTATCCCCTGAGATCACCTTTTAGTAAAATAGCAGAGTGGCACACAACATAGCGGATATTACCCATAAAGTTGGCAACCTACGTAAAAATCATCTGTATGAGACCAAAAGGTCAACAATTACTCAACAGTAAAGATAAGAAGACATAGAAACTAAAGGACTAGAAAGGGAACAAACTGAACACAATTAAAGAGAATGTTGATGCATTGTGTAAAATGTAACTAATGTCACTGAACAATTTGTGGAGATTGTCAAATGGGAACCTAACTTGCTGTGCATACTTTTATCAAAACTGAATAAATAAAATATTATGTTTAAGTTATTTTAAAAAATAGCAAGGTGTAAACTCCCACTCCCCATTCCCTTATCTCCATACAGAGGTTATATCTGGGGTATGACAGGTATGTCAGGTGCCCTGGGTGCAACTTGGGGGAAGGGGGCGCAATGAGCAGTTTCTATTCACTATCAAAGTTCCCATCACCAGCTGTGAGAGATCATTCAGCAATCTAAAACTAATTGCTACAGGTGCTATTTTACATAAATATATCTGTCTCCATATCCCCTCAGAAGAAACATCTTTTTTTTTCCCTGAAGGATTCAGAGAATCCCCTGCCTGGGACTCCAAACACCCTGTTCCATTGCTAGGTTAGTGGACAGAGAAGTTGTGCCTGGGGCCTAACCCCACAACTCAGTCCTGAACCCATTCTCAGATCCCCTCCAAGACTACTCTGGAGAAACAAGCCATTCATAGGTCTTAGTGCCCCTGGCAAAGTTACCATGTGTTGGGCTAAGGTCCAATATGAGATACTTGCAAGACCACGTGCCCTAAACAAGTCCTACAGTCTGTGCTAAGCCCAATATCAAGTACTCTGTAATCCTCATCTCATTTTAAGCTTATGTTATATGACTTCATGTTTCTTCCTGAATAAAGGAGGAAACTGGTTTCAAGAATCCAGAATATCGCCTTGGCAAATGCAGGGCAGAGATTAGAGTCATATCTGTAGAACTCTGTGCTCAGGCTTATAATCACAACTTTTGCTATACTTGTAACCAACTTCCACCCATCCAGGTGGCCACCAGCACAGCTGCAGATGAGCAAAGTTCTTAGCTAATGACAGATATGAAGGATTCTGGGTATGGGGTAAGGTCCTGGGCACAAAACTGTGACTTAAATCAGAATTACATGGCTAGAACAGCCACCATCAGGTCCCCCTGAATGAGCAAGGCCTGTACCAGGCTTCAGTAAACCTTTGCTGTGTTCTGACTAGATGGCTGGCCTGCCCAAGAGCCAGGGTGGGTCATGCTGGCATCAGGCTTGCTCCTTTCAACAGAGGTCTGTCTGGTGACTTCAATAGGAGGCCCATCATCAGCCTCTTACCCACAGATGAGATGGGCCTAGACCTCTGCCCAGCAGGTGAAGAACCCCAGGAACCGAGCAGTCCCACCTCAAGCCCAGCCAAGGGCTCAGCCACAGCCAGAGTTGCTAAGCACAAAAAGGACAGCCAAGCTGAGTGAGGGCTGAGACAAAACCCCAGAGAGAGAAACCACTCCTTCCCTGCTTCCGGGTACAGAGGGCCTACCCTTAATGACTCCACCCCTTGCTCACTGGAACACTCAGAGCTGAGCCACTCTAAGCCTCAGTTTTCTCATCTGTAAAACAGGGAGAACTGCAGGCCTGATGGCACAGAAATGATAAAAATGAGATGTGATGCTGAACATAGGAGACTTAGCATGGACCCTGGCTATAGCCTGGACCCACAAGTCTCTGCTGTTAGGCCCTCCGGGTCACCCAAAGCCGTGGTGAGGGGTCACTGACCTTCAGGGCACACTTCTGGCCCGTCTGTCTGTGGAAGCACTCGAGCACCTTGCCGTTCACACCCAGGCCCAGCACCTGCTTGGACAACTGGTAGTCGTCCGTCACCGCATACTTCTTGGGTTCGCGCCGCACCCCTAGAGAGGGACTGTCTCCCAAGCCAAGTCCAACAGGTGCACCGGGCGGGGGCGCAGGGGGCCCCTGCTCCGCTGCTGTCTCACCATCCATGGCCCCTGCGGGGCATTTAGAGGCGGCCCCAGCCTGGCGCGTCCAGGACCACCTGAGGGAGAGTGGAAGAGTGAGTTCCGTCCAGACTCTCCCACCATACCCAAGTTCTGGAACCCCTAAGCAGGGCTTAGTTGAGGGCAGGGACAAGACTAGGAATGTGGGGCGAACCACCTGAGTTCTCCGCGTGACAAGAGGCGGTGGTCACATAACCAGACACTAGCGAGTTCTGGAGTCCTGCCCCGGCACGTGTCAGGAGGGGAAGGGACCAGGCATCTAGTGGCCACTAGATCCCGAGAGTGGGCCGAGAGGGAACCTAGCGAGGCGTACCTGGCGGCAGCTGGAACGAGAGACAGGGACAGCGGTGGCGGACGCGGGAGGACAGCAGAGCGCCCAGGGCCGAGAGTTCGGCGGCCCGCGGCCCACGTGACCGCCCCCAGCGCGTCATCCCGACTTGGGGCCCCGTTCCTAGAGCCTTAAAGGGCCAGGCGGGCCCCAGCAGGGCATGGAAGGAAGGAGTCCAGGCAGAAATAAGGGCGGGCGGGGCATTCGGAGGGGCGGTAACCTCCCGGGTCTGTGGAGGTCGCGCGAGAACCTAGAGCCAACACACCCCAGTCCCGAGTGATCTCTACAAGCCCCGAATTTTACAGGTGACCTGGGAGGTCACGGGGCAGGATATCTTGTTTCTCTGGGAGACTGTTTTCTCCACACGCTGCCAGGGGGTTCTTCAGTCTGGGTTGCAAAACTGTAGCTTCCGACTTCCCTAGTGGTAGCCAACCTCCAGCATAGACAACTTCTGAATGGTTTGCTAACATGCTGGGCAAAGTGGCATCACATGGGTGCTTGATTCACGAATGTCTCTCCCCGGTAGCTCTGGGCGTCTCTGCCGCCCTGGAAGCCTGTCTTTTGTTGATCTCCTGGTCATATCCTTAGCTCATTTTAGCCATTTGAGATACAGCGTTCTTGGACCAGAAATCTGGAACTTCCATTTGGTCAGATCCATCGTCCTCGCCCAGTGACAAATATTCTCTGTTCGCTTTGTAGTTTTCCCTTCCTCATTTTGGTCTCTCAGTCTGTGCTTACTAAGGTAACCGCTTACATATTGTGAGCCAATTCTCCCAATTGTTTTTGTTGAGTGTTGTCGCATCGGTTCCGACTTAAGTTGGTGGTGGTGTTAAGTGCCTTCGAGTCAGTTTCCACTCATAGCGACCCAGTATAGCGTATCCGAGGACCGGCTGGTGAGTTTGAACCCCCGACCCTGCGGCTCAAACCGACTTTGCGGTCCAGTTCTTATTCTAAAGTGCCACACCAGGACTCCATAGCGAACCTGTATGGAGTTTCCAAGGAGAGGCTGGTGTGTTTGGAATTCTGACCTTGGGGTTAGCAGTCCAGTGCTTAGCCTACAGTGCCACACGAGGACTCCAGTACAGACCACTAAATAATCTTAATTTTACAGGTGGGGAAACGGAGTCACCCAGAAAGCAAATTTACTTGGAGCCATAGAATGGTAGTTGTCTCCTGGGATAGACACATCTTCACTACAGCAAACAAATCTTCCTCGTTCACTTGGTGCAAGGATGGTGCTGCGCTGTGTGGGCCTCTGTTGCCATCTACAGACTGTCGGTATAACTGCAGGCACCAACCTCGTTCCCACCCAAAGGCATCTCAAGTCATCTTCTGGACTTCCGAATAGGGATCTGGCAACCTTCCCTCCCCCAATTCCGTGCGCGTGGTGTCCACGCATGTGGACACCGGGACTGTAGGAACAGGTCCATCTTCTAAAAGCAGGCACTTGTGCCCTTCTTGAACAGTTAGTTACCTCTGTCAGCCTTTGATGATCATTTGGTAGGTGGGTAAGTGGGTGGGCTAGAAAAGCAGTGCTACAACTTTTGGTGAATACCTGCACTCTACAGACGCTGAGTGAGTATGAGGATGCCGGGACTCTGACTCTGTCTCTTAGAGGCAACCTTCAAGCTTAGCACGTATCTCCAAGGACAATCTCAACTAGACTTGCTGAACTCGATAGGTGCTTTCCCCAGGGAGTTGCATGATCTTCTAGAGTTGTACCCATTCCCTGGCATCACAAACTATCCCAGAGAGGTCAAGAGACCTGCCTGAGGTCAGCAGCTGTCATGGTCGTGCCCCCATCCCAACCCTAAAGCATAGTTCCAGAGTCCAGCTCTTGTTCTAGAACTGTGCTCTCCTCTTAGTTGTTTCCTCATCCTCCCAGACACACCCACAAGTGCAAACACATGCTTGTGTATGTTTACAAATGTGCATGTATACAAAGACATATATACACACATGTTTGCAAAGGGCATACACACTTCCAATATACATGTACACATGTGCGCTCACACACACACACATGCATACATGCACACATACACACACACACTCACACATATTTATGCCAGCTGGATTCAGAACTTCTGTTCCTGAGCCCCACCTGAGAATCTGACTCAGGATCTCCAAGCCTGGGAGAAAGCCCTGGAATTTGGTAGCTTCTGCTGTTTAGAGGCTGGAGAAGGAACTCCCCTTTGGAGGTAGTTTGCTTTGGCTGGGCAAAGTCAAATTGCTAAGCCAGGTCTCATTCTGGGGAGGCAGGGTTCTGGGTAAACAGAGGGCTAGACAGCAAAGAGTGGAGACCGACTCCTTGCTCCAGCCCAGAATATATGGTGCATGGTGTAGTCTCCATGAAGATACCTTTATTTAAAAAAAAATTTTTTAATGGAGTGATATTACAATTGCACTGAACGTACAAAAAAAAAAACTTTTTATTGTGAATTAAGAGCAGATCATCAGTTTTACATTTTAAAAAATCATGTACTATACATAAGGAGCTCTGGTAGTGTAGTGGTTACGAATCGGGCTGCGAATTGCAAGGTCAGCAGTTCGAAACTACCAGCTGCTCTGTGGGAGAAAGAGGAGGCTTTCTGCTCCCGTAAAGATTTATAGCCTCGGAAACCCTGTTCAGGGTCGCTATGGGTTGCAACCGACTCGACGGCACTGAACAACAACAACATTTTATTACATTGATTACAATCCCCTCCATGTACCATCAGTTAACAGTTTGTACCTCTATTCACTTTTGCATTCCTCCCTGTGTCTTCTGCTACCTTCATCTTTCCTCTGCCAACCTCCCTCTTATTGTATATTGCCTTCCCTGTCAACCATGTTAACATGTGTCTACCCCCTAGCCTGTGAAAATTTTTCCCTTCTCTCCCACCCCTGGTAACCATCATAGAATGTTTCTTTTATCAAGCTTTTCTTAACTTTTTACAATAGTGTTGTTGTTCAGCACCATAGAGTCAGTTCCCACTCATAGCAACCCATAACTTATAAGCATGGTGTTATTCAATTTCATTGTATTTTATGTTTTTCCCTTGATCTTTGTATTGTTGATTTCTAATTTTATAGCATTGATCTGAGACAATGCTTTTTACTATTTTGATGTTTAAAGTTCATTAAGGTTTTCTTTATGGCCTAACATATGATCTATTCTGGAGAATGTTCTGTGTGCACTGGAAACGAATGTATATTGTGTTATTGCTGGAGTGAGTGTTCTATATATGTCTATGAGGTCATATGTCTATAACTGATTGTGTTATTTAGTTCTTCTGTGTCTTTATTGAGTTTCTTTCTAGTTGTTCTGTCCTTCATCGAAATTGGTGTATTAAAATCTACTATTCTGTTTCCCCGTGGAGATGGAGTTCTGGATACAGTCAAGATTCGGCTCTACCAGTAAACCACCGCCATGACCAAGGAAAGTACTGCTGCTGAAGGTGTAATGGACATTAACACTGCTTTAGGAGACGTGCTGAAGACCACCCTTATCCATGATTGCCTAGCACGTAAAATTCACAAAGCTGCCAAAGCCTTAGATAAGTGCCAAGCTCATGTTTGTGTGCTTGCATCCAACTGTGAGAAGTCCTGGTGTGGCACTGCAGGTTAATGTGCCAAATTGCAAAGCATTTGAACTGCAAGTTCACCAGTTCAAGCTCACCAGCTGTTTCTCAGAAACCCTATAGAGGGTCGCTATGGCTGGGAACCGATTTGATGGCACTTAACAACAATCCAAATGTTATGAGCCTATGCATGTCAAGTTAGTAGAGACCTTATGTGCTGAACACCAACTTGATTAAGGCTGATGGTGGTGGTGTGCCGTGGAGTCGGTTCCGACCCATAGTGACCCTGTACAGGGTTTCTGAGGCTGGAAGTCTTTACGGGAACAGAAAGCCTCATCTTTCTCCTGCGGAACAGCTGGTAGTTTTGAACTGCTGACCTTGCGGTTCGCAGCCCAATTTGTAACCACTACTCTACCAGAGCTCCTTAGGGGAATGGGTAGGCCTCTGCAAAATTGACAGAGAGGGAAAGCCTTACAAAGTGGTTGGTTGCAGTTTTGTTGTTGTTAAGGACTACAGCAAAGAATCTCAGGCAAATATTTCAAATGCAAGAAATGAGACAATAAAAAAACTTAATTCTCAAGTTGCAAAAAAAAAAAAAAAATCTGCTATTATTACTGCAAAGTCAATTTGAACTGCAAGGTCAGCAGTTCAAGCTCACCAGCCACTTCTTGAAAATCCTATGCAGGGTTGCTATGGGTCAGAACTGACTCAACACCACTTAACAACAACAACTACTATTGTAGAGTTGTCTATTTCTTTCTTCAGTTGTATTGTTGTTCTTGGTAAGTGCTGCTGAGTCGGTTCTTAGGCATAGCAACCTTGTATAAGGTTTCCAAGGTTTTAAATCTTCTTGGGAGCAGAAAGCCTTATCAGTTCTATTAAGCTTGGACTTACGTATTTGAGGCTCTTTCATTGGGAGCATAGATACTCATTATGGTCATGTTCTCGTGTTCAAATGACCCTTTAATCATACTGTCCTTCTTTGTCTCTTATGCAGATTTTTGCCTTAAAGTTTTTTGTATCAGAGATCAGAATTGTCATACCTGCTCATTTTTGATTGCTGTTAGCTCGATATACTTTTTCCATCCTTTGATTTTTAGTATATTTTTGTCTTTATGTGTGAAGTGTGTCTCTTGTAGACAGCATTTTGAA